CTTGAGACAGGGTAAAAACACCAAAGACTATTACAAGGACATGAGAACTGCAAGCATGGCAAATAAGTGGTGGTGAAACAGAGCTAACCTGGAGCAGCAGAACAGGGGGAGAGCCAGAAATGCCTAAACATGCTGAAGATCAGAATGCAGAAAGATAGCTTGGGTAAAGCATCAAGCAAGAGCAACAGGAAGAGAGTAACTACAGTCAGCCAGACAAGGAGATTGAACAATAACGTTGGGGGCAGGAATTGGGAGCAAAAAGAGGAGGAAGAGCCTTGGAACAAGGATGAAAAGCCTGACTGGAACCTGGCATTGTATGCTCTCAGAAAAGACTGGATAGTCACAGACTAGATATGATCAGTCCTGGAAAAAATGGGTGGACGCCTAGATGTTTGCTTCTCACTGCCAAGGAGTCTCTCTTATTCCTCTGTCTATTCCTGCTCCATAGCAAAACCAGGCAATGTGCATTAGTAATACTAATTAACAGTAGCACTAAATACTAATTAATTCTGCATGTATTTGTTACTGTGTTAACCAAAGCAGCAGACACCTCTGCCATGAATCTCAAGCTTCTAACCCTGAAAATGAAGTGCATGACGCTTCTGGTTTTTCCCCTTTTTTTTTTTAATTGCTAAGAAGTTGCACACAACATACACTACATAAAAAAACTAATATTGCACAAAAGATGGGATGTAAAACTTCCTATGAGAACTTTCATTCTTCCCCTTATGCATACACATTAAGGAAAAGTCCTTAATTACATGATCACCCAAAGAGTTTTCTACCTGGCACCCATGTCTCTTAGCATACACAATGGATTCACACTGACAATGAATTGGGGGTGTACATAAAACACTCGGACCACTATTTTCAGGACTCTGGCCACTCTTGCCACAGAAACAGTAGCATGAAAGAAAGGCTGGGAAGAGATGAAAAAGAAAGGCTGGGCTGGAAATGCAGGTCTTGTGGCTAAGACCACTGCAATGTTGCCCTAGGATTTGGATTCTGGCCTTCCTCAGCATCACAGGAGGATTCTGTGGCAAAGAAACCAGTTTAACAAAATCTTTCGGAGATTGATACTAATCTTGTGCTTTCTTTGCCTCCAGGCGTCAAACCTGACTATTTTATAAGTGATGTACACTTCCAACTGCCCCTAAGGTCAGTGAGCGTATTGCCTTGAACATGCCTGTGTAGTAGTAAGATATTTATTTTGAGGGATGAGGTACAAAAAGACTTTGCTATATTCTTTTTGCAGGCTGGACACTTCCCTGTGCCTTCCCAAACACAGTTATTTTAATTGCGGGTAGCAACAGATAGAATTCTGCAAAAACAAGTCAGATTAAAAAAAAAAAAATCACAATCCACTGGTTCCTACTGAAACACTTCCAAAGTTTCACATTATGATTTCTGTTTTAATGACTGGTTTTTCTATGACTAAGGCTGTCAAGGTTAAAATTCACAAACATACCTACTTCAGAATCACTGGAAGATGAAGAAGATCCTCATTATTCCAGAATCCAAATTCTCCTTGGGCACATTACAATGAGCCCCAGATAAAAAACAATTCACAGAGCTTGCAGTGATATGTGTAGGGGCAGGGAATGAGCCAGTGACACTGGCTGTCATAACCCATCTATGGCTGCGTACTTCATCTCTGCATGAATCTCTTATGACAAGTCAAAAGTGAGGACCCCACATTTACTGGCTTATGAAATGTACAAGTCTCCCTGCCTACACACCTACTATATGCAGGCTGGAAAGAACCAATCTAACCACTCTTACCTTCTGACAGGTTCAAGTTAGGCTGTTGCTGTCGATCAGGGCAGAACAGCCTGATCAGCTACAGCAGCCGAAGGACTGAACTGCTCACAACATGGGTTGGTACTGCCTGTCTGGGCAGCACACTCTCTTCCAACAAGCAGTGCGGCTCTCTTTGACAGAAGGGTAGTGAGAAGGGCACTACTGGGATGTCAGAGATGACATCCCCTGTGGGCTGCCACATCGACTATAATGACCTACATCCACTCTACCATTCTTCCCTCTAGCTTTCTGCAGTATCAATGCTGTGCTGCAACTCTCCACATGGTGCAATTAGGAAGAGAGATCACCCAGCTGTATATTAATTGTCAAAACTATGTATTTTTCAATCCTAGACTGGCTGGGAACAGTGATTTTTCATTCCTTAAGTTTTTCGGCATGCAGTATATAGACACATATAATGCTACCGTCAGAGCAAGGTAACTCTGCTGACATCAAGAATAAACTTTATGCATTCACACCGCTTGCTCCAGGAAGCTGCAGGAATCAGAGGTTTGACTCTGATTCTTCTTTTCCTGAAGAAACAGAAGAAAGGCAGAAGTACAGGTTTAAATTAATCCCAAATAATTTTTATAGTAAAATTCATACTAGAAGGACAATTTGCAGTGTGCTATTGTGTTAAGTAATAGCTAAAGCATGGAGACATTCCTGCAGAGAAAGTCTTGAGCTTCATTCTGTTCATCGCTCATCAAGGACAGCAAGTTTTCTAGAAATATACCTCCCTCTCTGCCCCAGAAAACTCAGTGTCTGTTCTGACTTTTGCAGATGTCTAAATCCTTGTCTTTGCCTTCATTTGATTAATAAAGCTATCACATCAATTACTGAAGTTTACTGAAGAAAGGAGGACAATACAGAACAGCCCTTACGCACTCCAGATCACAAGTCCTTTCCCAAGGAGAGAGCCCATCACATCGTCCTTCAGCTTGCTCCTATATTGACTATTTACTAGTAAAAATGAAGACAACTCATTCCACCACTAGTACAAACCTGGTAAAATACAAGGCATCCGCTCAAGCAGTAGACAAAAGCCACACTCTGAGAACATTTCAGTGACTGGTTTTTGCTAAGGTTTCGGTTGGGGTTTTTTGTTTTTGTTTTGTGCTTTTTTGTGCTTTGGAACAAAGTGACTTGTTTAAAACTTAGCCAGCCAGCAGGGCAAACATTTGCCCAAAAGGACAGTCATTTGCCCAACAGATTTAAAGTGTATTTCATCAATACAATATTACGCTAATAAAATTCACAAGTACACGGGTGTTTAAAGCCAGGTGTTTCATCTACTTCCCTTCCCAAACAGAACAAGCAAATGCATACGTTACCTCAAAAAATGTAAAAAAAAAAAGTGCTAAACAAACCCCAACCAACCAAAAAACCCAAGAAACTGGGAAATACAGAACATAGCTGATGACTTAGACTTCTATCCTGACAGCTTCCAATGTGACCCACACAGACACTATACCTTTAGAGCTGAGAACCATCCAAATATAGCATAACTTCTAGTAAATTCTTATTGTTCGGTTTGGTTGAGTTTTTTTTAATAACCCTTACTATTTCCTTTGGCCACCGATGAGTTTGCTATTGCAGTGAAATCATGCACTCCTCCCAGCCAGTGCATTTTCTAAACAATTGGCATTCAACAACAGATAACATTGAAGCATTGGTAGAGCAGCTCTGGAGAATGACATACAACTATGTAAAGCTTTGAACAAAGGCATTCACAGAGGTCTCAGGAAGTAGATTTTCATATGACTAGCCATCACAGTATGTGCTTATGATAAATGCTGCAGGCACAGAGTTCTCCTTAGTTACTTTGGTTCCTTACAGTAACTCTACTTCCCCACTCTTAAATGCATTAAAAAAAAAGGGAACACTAAGTTATCTTTTCAGTTATTTTTACACTTCTCTTATCTGAACACTCCAAGGTGACCGAAATGGAGCTTTCTGAGCACATCATGTCAAAGTGACATGATTCCAAGTTTTCATAAATTTGATATTCTTCCTTGCAGAATTCAGCACCTTTCACTTGTAAGGACACCCAATAAAGTATGTTATGACTTCACAGAAATACTTCTTTCACCTGTCAGTTGAACTATTTTTTTTTTCCCCCTTGGCTAAATGTACATCCTCATCTGTTTAACACTGCACTGAGGTAGCCTTAAAAAAACCTAAAACTGGATGGAGGACTAGTAGTCACATTTGCAAACATACTCTGCTGTGTTTTTATTTTTAAAAGACATTTCTAATCTCAAAAAATAGTTCCTTTTAGGCTAGGATAACATTCTTCTGGATGCTTTTGATTGAAGTGACATTATAAAGTCTTCCTAAGAACAGTTTTGGAGTACTTTCATGTTGCAAGTTCCCAGTGAGCTTAAACTAGCTCATTAGCTCCAGACAACAGGACAGCAAAGCCCTCAACACGGGCTGCAATGGATGGCAAGACCCAGCATGAATACCGGGACAATTTGTTCACAGAGCTTAGTGCTCCTACGTCAGTATTTCTAGCTGAGCTTGAATCAGCTAGATTCTTCACCCGACTAAATTCATAGAAGTTGTCACTAAAGCAGTTCAAGCAAATCTATGTCCATTGAAAACTCTGCCACTGAAATGTCATTCTGGAGGAAATTCTGAAATTTTAAAATCTTAGGTAAACTGGTTTGACTTTAGAAATGAAAGAAATACAAACCAGGATTGTGGACAACACTTAATGCTGAATTAGTAATAAAAGGTCACTTCCTACTGAAAAATATTTGTGAAATACATGGAGAAACAAAAACAACAAGAAGATTTTAAACTGCGTTCGTAACAAACTCCTTAATTTGGGTTCTTTATACGATTGACCTGTTCCAAATGTTAGATTGTTATGCTTAATTATCCAGGGATTTAAATACTTTACTGAGCCATAACTCAGAACTAAAAATTCTGCAGTTGCTTTCTGAGAAATCCTAATCTGAATGCATTTAAGGAATGACTTGCCTTCAGGAGAGATATTTCTCCAGTTCCCATATAAACTATCAACCTGTTTTGAAGAACGTTTTAATCCTATAAACTGTATTTCAATCTGTTTCTCAAAATGTCTTCAATGACATCTTATATAATAGCAATTCTCTGCTGGAAGGAGGAGAAAGAACCAAACAGCCAGTTACAGTACCCTCGTAACAAAGTTCCCTTCATTTCATAAATGGTACCTTGGATGTAAGGTCTCGGTGGAAAATGCCTTTATAGTGAAGATAACTGATTCCCATTGCAATGTCATATGCCAGTTTCACCCTCACTGTCCAGGGCAGGTGCTGGTTACTGTCTAATAGCTGTTCCAGGTTACCACAGTTGATGTACTGAAAAGACAAAGCAACATTTGTAATTATTTAACTTCATGTGTTGTCAGGAATGTAAAATTCATCATTACACAAGTGTCCTCAGTGCAGCTACACATTAAAAAATTTTTTCTTAAGGACTAGACAGGCACAAACTTTGCAGGTCAAGAGAGGCTGAGAATGTCTCCCTTCACCAGCTATACCAATGCATTTATGTTAAAGATGCATGCAACAGCCAACACTGCATTAACTCTATGGTATTTAAATAGACCCTTCAGAATCACCTACAATATAATATCACCCTCTCATTTCAGTGTGAGGAAAACTAGGGCAAAAAGGATGTGGAGCTGGCTCTCAGGCAGAATAAGTCAACAAAGAGAGGACTAAGTATCCAAGTGTAGGTCACGGAGCCTGATCAAGTTCCCAGATATCAATTCCCTAAACTGAAGCAGCATCAAAGAAAAATATTACAATATGTTGCTGTAAGTTACACTTTTTCACTGCTGTATCTACAAATCTTAATCAGCAATCTGATTCCCACTGTGTTCAGTACTACATCAACCCCATCAAACAGCAGCCCTCATGAAAAGGGACCTACATTAAGTATAAGATAAATGCTACAAGAGACAGTGAAACAAAGCAGCACCCAAATGATGCTAAGTAATATAACCCAGGGCTAAGACATGGCAGCTCCACTGCTTCTCAAATAATCATTACAGCAACATTGGGCTTATGCTTTATGTATAGACCCTTTACATCACAACAGCAGCTATGCTATGTCTGAGTAGCTTTTTGTTTCACTCCCAGACGCAGTCCCCTCACCAGCAAAGCAAAAAGACTTGCTCACTCTGGGGGGAAAACCTGGCAGCAATGCAGTGACTTCTCTCAAGAAAATCCAAGTGAAGCAGACAGGATAATATGCTCCCAAGCCTGGTCCCACTGCAGCAGGCTGCACCAACTTTGCTCCTCTGTGCCAGACAACTCTCCAACACTCTCTCAAGAGGCTTTGCACTTTCCTGGGTAACTCACCCAGACAAAACACATGCCACCATTATCATGTTAAAATAAAAATCATAATTACAGCTCTTGTTATTTCAGAAACTTTGAGCTTTCTTTTATTTTGTTGGGCTTCTTTGTGTCTTAGAGCCTGGGGCACAAGGCAAACGTGAACCCCACACTATGCAGTGTGGATGTGGCTGATCTCCTCAGCCTGTGCTATGGCAAGGAAAGGGCACACGTAAGCCAGACCCTACTCATAAGACTGGGGTCATGGCTCACCTCCTGGACGGTCTGCAAAAACCAGGTTCTTCCTCACAGTCAGGCCCCATCTTTTCCTGAGCTCACCAGTTAATTTTGAAAACCTTTTTCAGCAGATACACAAGGTTCACAGGTAAGTATTTAACAAGGCTAAATTGTTCTGGCAGATGATGCACAAAGCAATTTTAACTGCCACAGAGCTTACCGGGAGGGGGCACCACCACTGCTCCCCTCGGCTACACTGCACGTCCCTCGGGAACCATCCCGGCCGTGCGCAGCGGCACACTGCAGCGGCAGCCCAGAAGTGACCCCTCTCTCTCTCTCCTGTCTGTCTCACAGAAGCTCTGTCAGCTGCTGGACAAGCCGGGAAGTACACACTGGACATGGACACGGCGGGCACTGAGCAGCCTCGCTCTCAGCATTTGCCTTTCTCCTTTGAAATACAAACCTCTGGCTTGATCACGGTGCTGTACATCCAGCTTTTGTCCTTGAGCAACAATCAAGGCAAAGACGGAGGATAACAGTCACTTCTTTGCACTCAAATGTTCTTCAAAGAATGATCAACAATTAGCTCCACTCTGGAACAGATTTTAGACCTGATATCAACTACCTCCTCATATCAAAGGTGGTAATTTCAAAAAAAGGTGCCTGAGTCTATGAAATACTCCAATATTTCAAGAGGCTGTTTCATATCTCTAGCATTAGACTAAGAGCAGGAGAAAGTGTGCAATGATACACAGGGAAGGATTTCAGAAAAGGGTACAGAGAAACAGAATGCTTCCTCGTATTGACAGTTTCTAGACCAAACAGGCATAAAGTATTTGTATTTTACAATGAGGCAAGGAAAAGGTCCTGAACTCTAGAGAGCAATCTGGCTGACATTTTAAAATGCACTGTCCTGTTCTTAAGTAGTAAAATTTTCTATCAAACTGTTCTCTTTTGTACTGAAGTCAAGATAATTTAATTTCTCAGAAATTTGTGCTTAGTGCATAACATTTTGCAAAATAAAATGCCTGCTGGCCCCTCTCCAAAAATCAAGGCAAGCAAGACTTAACACACCAATGATAAAAATCAAATGTTTAGGACTGCTACAGACCAGGCACTGCAGCTGGGGGGGGAAGGGAGTTGATCAGATGACTACAGAGGAAACTAGAAATTACAGGCTGGTGCAAGCCAGAGATCCAAAACAACCTGTCCCTTGTGCTAGGAGTTCACGTGTCAGGAGAGCGGAGCAGCTCTGGAACAGGTCACTCAGAGGCTATGCAATCTCCATCCTTGGAGATTTTCAAGACTCAACTAGACAGAGCTGCAGCTAACCTGAGTCAACGTTTGAAACAATGCTGCTTTGAGTTTTTCCAACTTTGATCTTTCTTTCTCATTGCTTTTATTTGAACCCCTACAGAAGCTAGATTACCTCAGAGAGCACTTAAGAAAAAAACCCACATTGCTCAATATAATTAGATAATTTTTTTAAATCAGAAGTTGCTAGCATGCTTAAGGAAAAAATGGTGAATAAGATTTCTACTTTAACTTCTTATATCTTCTCAGTCTCCTTGGAACAGCAGCACTTCTCATCCAGTTACGTTCAAATCCAAACAATATTGGCCAACCCAGAACAGAAGGCACTGAAGCACCTGGCTCAATAACCCAATTATAAAGTGACACTTATCAGTTATCTTAAACCATTTCACCTTTCTGACCGGGCAATAACAGACCATCCACATGGCACTACCATACTTGAGTTCATGGGCAAGAGAACACAAGGGAGAAGGGAATCACTGGCCTGGCTTTCTGTTTTGGATAAACTGTGCCATATCATGACAGTAATTGCTCCAGAAATGCTAATAAATAAAGCAAGCACCTGTAAGAGTATTGACATACATACTGAAATGTGAAAATAGCTAGCTACTATTTGGAGCATGCTCGTGCTTTCCTTTTCAATAAAGTAGCCTACTGGTTTGATCCATTGCTGTCATATTAGTTAAGTGCATCTGCGATATCTATTCCCCCAGCAGCCTGCCAGTCACATTGGCTTGCAGGTCATTCCCCCATCCTAACTACAAGGACTGTATTCTAGCATGGGCTGCGTGAAAACTGACACGCACATAGGACACAGCATGCATGAGCTGCAAGAGCAAGAATCAAACCTGAGTCTAGCACATACACAAAGGCCACCAGGCCCCCTGTCCAAAACTGCCACCTGGCAAGAGCGCGCTCATATCCCATTTATGTGCCACAGAGGTGTGAGTCCTAGTTTTGGCTCTAATTTCTAGTGTACTTCTGCAAAGCACAGCAGACTAATCATCAAGTGAACAACTGAACTAAGATTTTCCTATAGACATCTTTAAGACTCTAGCTGATCTCACATTGTAGCTGGCCAGCAGGTAATATTGATGTGCAGAATCCTGAATTGTCCCCAAGGCAAGTACCACACAGAGTTCAGTGCTCCCTCAGTGTCACGCAAGTAATCCAATTCTTCTGGTCATTCAGCCTATACTGCCAACAGCCAGCCTGATGGCCTATTTTTTCTCAGAGCCCTTCAATAATGCCTTTTCGGAACAGACACAGAATTATGTATAATATATCCTAATTGCCAGTGCAACTGAAAGAAAAATACTTGTTCTTAATCGCTTACTAGCACAAACCAGCTCTGTGTGGTAAGAGTATCCTACAGGATAGAAAGCGCACCTCTCCCAAAGAGAATACTGGATTTTATTTTCTCCCTGCAACATTTCAGTGCTGGTACAGTAAGGTTACAGCACACACATCATCTCAAAGCATTATTCCACTACAACAACAACAGCCATTGCGTAAGTGTACAAGCAATTGGAGCAGAGATCTGATCGGGCTATGACAATGAAAGCAAAGGACACTACATTTCATAAAGAGACCTCACAGCTAAATGGAGTAGTGTTCAGACCTTTTCAAACTCTGTATCATCAGATTGCAGTGAAACAGGTACCCATTATTCATACTGCTAGCTTTTTGTCATGTAACAGGACACCAACAGCCAGTTGACCTCTTTGCTAGAGTCTAAAAGTAACTGCTTTAAGTTGTTTATTTTGCATTTACTACAACACAACACACCAAATTGAACACTAGTTTAAAAGACCCTAGCATTTTAGCCCATAGAAATATCCTTTCCCAAAAAATTCATCTGTGGTAAGAGCTCATGCTTTTGTTGCTACAAGAAACTTTCAGCAAAACTGTATTTCTTACACCTCTCCCAAACCTTATGAGGAAATAGGGAAGTAGCTTCTCTGAAGGACAAATCACCCAGAAGCTCAGCCAAGCATAGGTGCTTTCTGGATCAAGGAGCCTTGAAGAGGCTTCTGATGTTAAGCTTAATGCTACGAAATGCAAAAACAGCAGCATATAACCCTTTCCACACAACAGTCAGAG